TATTTGTGGTATGAAAAGGTGAAAGAACATAAAGGTTTTACAAACCATATAATCAGATAAAAGTTGTATAGAGTATGGGATAAGTTGCTGGAGAACAAAACACCACTATGGCTTTCACCTTTGAAAGCCATAGTGGTGAAAAAGAAAAATATGATGGAAAATTGGGCGACATGGAAATTTATTAGGAGAAGAAGGTGGAGAATTTAAATTAAGAGAATACAAGGATTTATCAGAGATGTTAATAACATGGTTACAATAGAATCATTTGAATGAAGTATTTTAAAAGGATATGAAGCGGGGGTTTGGGGAACAAATATCGCAACTAGAAAGAGACCTGTTAAACTGTAATGTTTAAGTGATATCTGAAATGTATAAGATGTTATTGGATTGGGAGACAAAGGACAAACAAGTGAAATCTTCAATGATACACTGGGCAATAGATACTGGTCACAATATAGAAATGAATGCATGCAAACATTTATGGAATGTGGATATAAAATTTACAGCATGTTACAGTTTAAGAGGAAACTATATGAAAATGTTATATAGATGGTACCTAACACCTAGTAGATTGGCTAAAATGTATAAATCCAATCAAATATATGCTGGAAATGTAAAGAGGAAAAAGGTACAATTTTTCATATGTGGTGGTCTTGCAATAAGGTTAAAGCTTACAGGTAAATGATATATCATGAACTGAAAAAGATGTTTAAGATAACATTTATTAAAAAACCAGAAGCGTTTCTTTAGGGAATTATGGGATCAGAACTACCTAAACGTATAGAAATTTATTTATGTATGCAACCACAGCTGCAAGAATGTTAGTTGTCCAAAAGTGGAAGGAAGAAGAGGTCCCGATGAGAGATGAATGGATACAGACGTTAATGGTCTACTCAGAAATAGCGAAACTTACCGGGAGAATAAGAAATCAAGATAACAATTTTTTAAAGAAAGGAATGGAAACGGTTTATTGAGTATTTACAAAAAACTGTAAACAGATTAAGACATTGGCAGGATTAATGTAAAAACCTGCAGTTTCAAAATATATATGGGATATATATGGGAATAGATATATAAAAGAATATGCTGAGATAATTTGGAGTATGCAGTAAGCTGAAAATAAATGTAAACAACCACAGAAAGCGGGGGAAGGGAGTCAGAGTTTGAAATGTTAAAATCATGATTTAATAATTGTTGTAATATATATAAATGAAGATTATAATTTTATTTTATTTTTTAAAAAATGAATTGACAACCCTGGATCCAGGAGTACCTCCATATGTACATACCGGTACTCTTTTAGGGGATGTGCAACACTTTCTGGTGTGGGTTGTGCTTGTGGAATGTGATCCACAGGTAGCAGTCAAGTACAACATTCCTTATAATGGTAGAGTGGACATGCAAGGGAACGTTTGGTCCAGCCAGTCGAAACTTCCTGTTCCTCCTGGCCTGGAGCATCCTTCCTCTTGCATGTGACCAGAGATGGGTGTGACCTTACCTGTCCAGGTTACAAAAGGACGAGTCACGCAGCACCCCTCCCTTCTTTTTCCTCTTTCTCCTTTCGTCTGCTTCCAGCTAGGACTGTTCTGTTGTCTTTCAGTGGGTAAATCCACATGTTGCTATTTGTAACTTTAAGTCTTTAAGCCTGCCTTCAGAATTGGTACTGTGTACTGCCTGAATGTGAGTAAACTTACTTTTTGTTTACTATGAATAGGATTGTGGTAGTTTTATTCTTTTAAGAGGGATTCAAGGGAACTTACCAGGAACTATACAATTCAATTGGAGGCATATTGAATTGCATAATAGTAAGAGGTTCTAACGAGCCTGCAACCAGCTTTCAGCTGTGTGTGAGAAGGGGAATGTAACTCTGTTAAGTAAAGGAACTTGCTAGGAAGGATATTAATAAACACTATATCCTCTCTTGCCACCCTGAACAGTGCTCTTAATTCCTGAGCGTGGGAAGAACTAGTGTCAGCCCAATACCGTATATTTGGCCGCTTAAACCAATAGACAACATGATGCCCACAGCATTGCCATTCAATGTACAGAAACTAATCAGATTGCTAGTTCCTTCTTACTTCAACATGTCCTAAAATGAACAAATTCCAGATTACGTTTGTCCCATCACGCAGCTAAAAAGCTTGGCTCATGTCCAGTTTACAGTCCAACTCAAGTTCATCTGAATAATCCTCAGGAATTTGCACACACACCCATCATTCAGAATGGTACAAGCCATTGTACTGAAGTATAAAATATACTATGGAAGACTAAGTAAACGTAAAAACACACACACACAGTGGAATGTGAATTGTTGAATTTATTTCTCTGAGTAATTATGATTCATAAGCTTATGATTGTTAAGACTACAAAAACACGTGTAAGGAAATGAACTTGAACTAGAAATTGTTCAAAATCCTAATCCAAAAGGAACTTAATTTATGATCAGTTCAGCCAGCAATTGTGGCAACTACTTTAAGGTGTACTTCAGATATCTTTGAGTGAATCCAGTGAACTTTGCTAACCAAACAGGTTCAATTCTGTCTTGCCAGAACTGAGCTTCTGTTTATTGGCTCCCATCCATTTCTATGAGCAAATTGGGGTGGTGGTGGTGGTGGTGGTGGTGTAAACAATTGGGCCGGGGAATAAAGCAAATAAATCCCAAGACATTTTCAGGCGGCTAAAATGTAGAACCAGGTAGATAAACAAATTCAAACTTTTGCAAGTTTCTCTTTCCGCATTGTCCAACCTTTCCTGTCTTCACCAGATCTCAACACCCATAATCCCTCCCCCAATATCGGCCAAGATTAATTACTCGCTTCACTGCCTTTTTGGGGGCTTTCCCCATCTGATAAGATGTGAAGGAGACTGACAGAGCCTGCCAAGGGTCTCTGCAGCTCCGCTCTTTCTGCCTTGGCAGAAACAAATTGTCTGTGAATGGCACCCGTGGCAGTCTTTTGCATAAGACATGAGCACCCTACTCAGTTGTCCTCTCCTCAACCTGAGGCCTGCTGCTGGTTGCCATAGCAACCAAGCCACAACTAAAGTTCCGCCTGGAGTGTGGCTGCTTCTTTGACTGGATTGTTTTTATTCTGATTGCTGCTAATATACTGCTTCTAGGGTTGCCAATTTCCCAGACATAGCCGGGATTTGGCCATCTGTAACAGTGCCCAGGCGGAAATCGCTTAAATGTCCAGGAAAATCTGGACATATGGCAACTCGTGTTGGAATTGTAGATTTTGGTGAATTTCCTTAAAAATTGCTCAAAACTTCATTTGTTTTGGTTGACTTTGCATGGCAACCCTAACTGCTGCTATTGCTGCTTTTACTTCTTGTTATCTATTTAACACAATCTTTATACCACTCGGTCACCAAAAACTTCTGTTTTGCATGAAATAATATCAAATACGCATTAACCCCTGCCCTGGACAATAAAATCAAAAGTTAGAAACAAGCTGATCTAAAATTCATCAAAATGTAAGAGTTGTATCCTATTTCAGCCATTCTCAGAGGAAGATTCAGGATGGGCAAAAGAAAATGCTTCTCCACACAGTGCATAGTTGAAAGTATAGCATTCACGGTGCATAGCAAAGTATAGCGATGGCCACCAGATTGACCTCTTTTAAAAGAGGATTAGAGTTAGACAAATTCATGGAGGATTATCTATGTTCTACCTCCACTGTTGGAGGCAGTATGCCTCTGAATGCCAGCTGCTGGGAATAGAGAGCTGTTGTGCTCAGGTTCCGTTTTTGGGCTTCCAATAGGCATCTAGTTGTCCGTTGTGAGAACCTAGTGCTGAACTAGATAGGTTTTGACCTGATCCTGAACTTCTTATGCTGCGATTCTCACAGTACCCCAGAACAATCCCAGAATGAGTGTTCTACCAATATGACACAATTTCTACTTGTGGGTTTCCCAGGGGCATGTGGGTAGCCACTGTGAAAACAGGATGCTAGACTAGATGGGCCATTGGCCTGATCCAGTAGGCTATTCTTATGTTCTCATTTGTAGGCCCACCACTGATGCCAGTATAATGTGGTATTATCTTAAATGCATGGTGTGAATGTGGCCTAAGTGTCTGTTGTGGAAAGGACAGAAAACCATGGGGAGATGACATGGAATGGAGTATCCTGAAGAAGGGCATGCAAAGCACAGACCTTCCATGTGTCCCTATTTTCTAGGGACAGTTCCGGATTTACAGAAGCCATCCCAGTTTCTGATTTGATTCCGGAATGTCCCACTTTTCCTTAGGACTTCTCTATTGTCATTGGAGAAATGATGGAGGGTGTGGTAGGATGTCTCTATTTTCATCAGAGAAATGCTGGAGGGTGTGGAATAGGATGTCCCTATTGTCATCGGAGAAATGTTGGAGGGTAAGCTCTTCCACTGAGCCCACAGCCCTTCCCCATACTGCCTCTGGTTTGGGGGCAAGGGTGAAATTGCTGAGTCAGTGGTGGAGGGCTGGAGACTGAGGACGTCGCAATGGGGTAGCATGTGCAGAACAGGGTCAAGAATGACCAGTCACTCTAACCTACCCTACCTACCCCCCCAAGAAAAGAAGTGGGATGTGGAAAGAGGAGAGAGAATGTGAAAGGGGGGGGGCGAGGAGAGAGAGAGAGAGAGAGAGAGAGAGAGAGAGAGAAGCTCTCTGCTTGTTCCTCTCACTTGGTTCCAGCTGCTGTGCCTTTCCAATGTCCTTGACCCTTTTGTGAGGGAGGTCAGTGTCTCATCTGTATTGCTCACTACAGAAAGCCAGCGACGGCTCACAATGCATCACAGCAGCAGTCATGCTGGAGCGCCCGTGTCATTTCAATTCATCTTTCTCCAAACGCTCCTTGTCACAGCCTGAATCTCTGACTAGAAGGGGGGTGGGCAGGGAGGTGGGCGGGTGGCAAAGACAGAGAAGGGGGAGCAAGAGAGAGAGATTGAGAGAGCAGGAAAACTCAACCCCAAGCAAGAGAATGCATGAAGGGGAATGGGCGCGAAAATGAGTAGATTGAGGGGAAGGGGTAGCTCAGTGGTAGGGCATCTGCTTTGCATGCAGAAGGCCCCAGGTTCAATCCCTGATGTCTTCAGGTAGGGCTGGGAATGTCCCACACCTGAAATCCTGGAGAGCTTCTGCCAATCAGCGTAGGAGATACTTAACTCAATGGAACCAATGGTCTGATTCTGTACAAAGGCAGTCTCCTATGCTCCTTTTTCATCCATCCTTTATTTAAAACCATGAGGACTAGAGCCCTCCTCCTCTGTCTGGGAAGAGCCACAGCTTAGTGGTAGAGCTTTGCATGTCCCATGTCCCAGGTGACTCCCCAGTGGTAGGGCTGGGAAGAGACTCTTGTCTCCAACTCTGGAGAGCTGCTGCTAGTCAGTGTCAGCAAACAATGATCAAAATGGATTAATGGTTTGATGGCAGCTCAGTGGCAGAAAATCTGCTTGGCAAATGAAAGGCTCCAGGTTCAGCATCTTTAGGTAGGGCTGGAAAGAGGCTCCCTGTCTGAAATCTTGGGAAGCCACTGCCAGTCAGTGTAGACACCGGAGGGAGCAGTGGTCTGACTTGGTAGAAGGCAGCTTCCGCCATGTTCCTAGATCAGGCATCCCCAACCTTCGGCCCTCCAGATGTTTTGGACTATAATTCCCATCATCCCTGACCACTGGTCCTGTTAGCTAGGGATCATGGGAGTTGTAGGTCAAAACATCTGTAGGGCTGCATGTGGGGGATGCCTGTCCTAGATTCTCTGTTAACTCCGAGATCTGCAGCTTTCAATATTTAACCAGGACCACACCACTTCCAGAAGGTAACCAATTTGCAGGAAGGAGTTCAATGGCATACCAGCAAATATACATCAGTTCTTGTACATCAAACCCATTTGCTTCCCACTTCCACCTACCCCAATCAGATGATGATGATGATGATGATGATGATGATTATGATTATTATTTTGCAGCAAGGAATGTGATTGGAAAATGCACTGGGAAGAATGGAATAAGTATTGCTTGATATGATGCAATTTTTTATTTATTTAAATATCTATAAACTGCACTTTCATTAAAAAAAAACACCAGAGCAGGCTAGTGTACATTGTACAAAATTGCAATAAGATCAATAGAAACATCAATAAAAACATATGTAAATACCAGTTGATAAAAATAATTTCACACTGCAAAGACCTGACCAAATAACATCATTTTTAGGAGACGTCTTAAAAGAGACAGATTCCCACTGAACCTCTACTGGCAGGGAGTTGCCACACTAAGGGTGTAGTCCTTACTAAAGGCCAACCAAACATTGGGGGTATGGGAAATCAGTGGCGGAGCTTCATGCTCCAGCACTGGGGGGCGGAGAGCAGGCGGGGGCGGGGCTGGCGCAAATCCCCGGGGCGTGGTGTGTTGCCCGTAGGGGCGTGGCACCCAGGGCAGGTGGGTGGGGCAGCCCCGATGGCACCCCACTGGGATCGTGCTGCCGGGGGTGGTGCGCTCCCCCCTGCACGCCTCTTCCTCCGCCAGTGTGGGAAATCCCAAGATGTGCCCCATCAGAGGATCTCAGTGATCAAGATGGAGCAAAAGGATCAGATGGTCCTTATGGTATAAATTCCATGCCATCGGGAATTGACCTAAATTAGTGGATCAGTTAGTGTTGTGCTGATCAGCTTCCTGCAGCAGGACCAGGTAAGATCTGGTCAGGTTCCCAGCTTCAGATTCTCTAAAATAACCCCCAGGTGCAGAGTGTAACTGGAAGCTCAGATCAGAAACTGCGTCATAACTACATCTTCTCATAACACTGATACAAGATTAGAACTAATCCCCTCCTCGTTACTCTCCCAAAGTCCTTTAAACATTGTCCAGTCTTGCTCAAATCTGTTTATCTTCCTTCTCCCTTGTCGAAACCCAAAAAGTTCATGTGATTTTCCTCCAAGCTGGCATTCCCCACTATTTAATATACCATTCTCTAAGACGTGGAAGTTATTCCTCCCCACCCTCACTATTTTGCATATAAAATCTTTGCTGCCCCTAGTATCATATAAAACAACAGGCTTCGCTTCATCTCCCATCAGCTTCGGCCAGCATAGCCAATGGCCAGGCACAGGGGGGTGGAAGAGATATCTGATTCAGTTCACATTGAAAAACAAAGCTCCCTAATTCACACTGCCCGAAATCATATGGGAAATAAAAAAACGGCCAGCCTTCAAAATCTGTGTTTCTCAGAATTTTGCAGTTCTCCAGCTAAGCAATGCTTATAAAAATGCATATGTAATTGTAAATTGTGCTTTTAAAGAATCATATATTGGTCAAAATAACATACCACCTTGGGGAGCACTAAACCTAACATTTCAGGGCCTCCAATATTTTCTTTAAATAACATATTCAAGGAACTTAATCAGTCTGATTCCAAAACTGACTGCGTTTCTGTCACCCTGAGACACTGCGAGCCAATGCGGTACACCCTTCGGATATCTTTGGACTGTAAGTCCTATCATCCCTGACCATTGGCTGTGTTGGCTGGGGCTGATGGCAGTTGTGTCCTAGCAACCCTTGAAGGGCCACAGGTTCCCCATCCCTGGACTCAAGAGTCCACTTCATCAGATGATTCAGGGCCAGACATTAAGTTAATGGTGGCTACACATCTGTTGCTCTGCTTCCCTTAAAGCAGGGATGGGTGACCTTTGGCCCTCCACATGTTGCAAGACTACGAATTCCATTATCCCTGACTGTTGGCCATGATAGCTAGGGCTTAGGGGAGCTGAAGTTCTAAAAATTAGGAGGACATTGCATTGGCAATTCCTGCCCTGAGATCAGGTATGATGAAAATAGTAGAGTTTAATAAGAAAAACGCTTCTGGCAGGTGGAGTTCATCATTCTATAGAGCCATGCCAGCTTGTGTTGGAATCCAACACACACAGAAGCTCCAACCAGCATGGTCAGTCGTCAGGGATGTTGTGTGTATGCACCTGTGTTAAGCGTATGTGTATATTAAGGGTGTGTGACTGAGTGTGACTGTGGTGACAGCCACTTTTGGAATGTGGACCCTTGCCGATTTCCATCAGGGCAACATGGCCCTCAGCTTGAACATCTTTCTCTAGCCCTGCTTCAGCTGCTTGGAACATTGAAAGCTGTCTTACACTGAGTCAGATCCTAGGTCTAACTCATCACTGTCAGCAGTGGCTCTCTAGGGTTTCAGATGGCGTGTGGGGGGGGGATGCCAAATATTGAACCAGGACCTTCTGCATGCAACGTGGATGCTCTGCTGCTGAACTCTGACTCTTCCCACTATACCACACAGGCTTCCAATCGCTCTACAGGTAAAGGCAAAGAGATTTCTCTGGTCTTCTCTGTGTACACCTGAGCTTTCCTTAGTAAGGCCCTGCTGGATCAGGCCAAAGACTCATCATCAAGCCTAGTGATCTGTACTCAAGTAGCCAGCCAGATGCCCCAGTGGAAAGCCTGCAAGCAGGACCTTTCTTCCTTCTTGTGGTTTCCAGCAACTGGTATTCAGAAGCATTACTGCCTCTGACAGTGGAGGCAGAACACAGCCCTTGGGGTTGACAGCCATTCATAGCCTTCTCCTCTTCCATGAATTTGCCTCAGCCTCTCTATTGCAGGGATAGGACTCCTAACCCTTAAAAGCAAGCCATACCCAAGAAGCATCTGAAGTGGGCAGCTCAAAGGATACGTTAAAGGCCTTCATTCAAAGCCACCTAAGCTGATTTCATTATTTGGGAGCCACACGATGGAAGACCGTGCAACAAAGAGGCTGCCTTCAGTGTTGGAGGCAAAAGGCCTGGATCTCTGGCTCCCGTCCTCATCGCCAAGAGGAGCCAGTTGGCAGGAATCTCTCCCGGCCAGCTTTGTTTGGCACTGGAGTCCTGCTGAGAAACTCGAAGTCCTCCATCGCAGGGGCCTTTTCTTCCCATTCCCCACGGAGATGAGTTTGTTTGTTCCGTTTTCATGTAGGCTCTCGAGAAGAAAAATAGAGAGTCTCTAATAGGCCAAATGCTGAGGACAACAACAACATCTGCTGGAACACAAATGCTTGCAAGCAGAGCCCACTTCAGGGTGTGCAATGAATGCCCTGTGTTTTTTCAGTGGGGGCAGTGCTCCCTGGCAGCGCATGCTGGCATCACAAATCCACCGCTCCCCGAGGGGCCATGGCAAGTTCTCCTGGTGGCTGCTGCTGCAATGGAGCCCATTCCCATTGCTGCCCTCTCGAAAATAAACAGCACCACCAAAGGCAAAGCCACTGCAGAATTAAAGTACACCAGAGACTCCCAAGAGAAAACCTAATGTGTGTCCCATATCACAAGCTCCTAACTATAATCATTTGGTATTTTGGTAGCACTTTCCCCTAATTTACAGGTATGGCTGGATCTGCCTGTTTTGGTTTCTAACGGTTTCTCACTTTGCCAACCTGAAAATTTCGTTTGCAATTTTTTCTCTTTAAAAAAGGAAAATTCATCTGCAAACGTCTCCTGAAATATATGTGTATGTATGCGATTGTGCCTAATTGATGCATTTTGGAAAAGCAATTCCTGCAGATATGATGCATTCCCCCCCCCATAATATGTGGATTTTAAGTTCAGTTTTGCACATCTCCATATCACTTTGCATATATTTTTTTAAAATAAAGCAATACCTCATGACGATTCACAAGCATTTTAATGCAGCTTGCTCCTAATACACACATTTTGGCAGGCAATGCAGAAATTTTTGCAAACCAACTTTTCCTTACACAATGCATTTTAGTATGCTATTTTCCATTAAGATTTGCATTTTTATGCACACTTTACCTTAGTATATGTGTTTTTGCACACACCATTTGGTTGGAAAACTGCACTGTGAAATTTGGAGAACCACTGTGTTTCAGTTTGTGAATTGTTTTGGAAAGTGTGAATTAGGGAGGTTTGCCTCCCTAGGATATTTGGAGTAGAGAGTTGGTGCATAGATGGCATGCAACCAAACCAGATCCATTGCATACAGCAATCTGTTAAACACTCTGGAGCTTTAAACACATCACCCCAGGAAACTAAGAACTCTGGCAACTGTAGTTTAACCCTCATAGAGCTACAGTTTCCCTGCACCC